TTCTCACACAGTAGATAATGAATTTGAACGTTTCATTTTCTAACTGTTTAGAAAACTTGTCCTTTTATTCTCTTCCAGTAACATCTGGAGACACTAACAGAAAGAAAAATATATTCTAACAAAAAGAGTAAAATAATACCGAACACTCACTGTGTCTTCTATGCCTGAGAGATATCTACCACACTTAATGTTATGAGAAAACATACCTGCTGATTTAGCACTTAAAGCCGCTTACTCGTTTTAATACAACTTTAAAGGTAAAGTGACTAAATCATTAGAAGAACATCAGTAATGAATATGTTAGGCAGTAAAAAAACAAAACAAAACTAGGAAGAAGTCAACATAGGAAATACAATATTCACTGGTGAAGTGACATGTAATTACAAAGTTCTGCAACATACAAATAAGCTTTATAAAAACGTGTAAAAGTTTAAGAGCACTTTGCAAAGGCCAAGCTGATGATCCACTGAGTAGGTTATGAGCGCGTTACTTTAAATAAGGGCAGCATTTTAAAACATCCCTTCACATGTCTGCGCGAACGAAAGAAGCGAATACTCCATCTTCCCGAGCCAAGAGGCTCTCTGGAGTGTCATATTCTAAGATATTTCCCCGCTTCATCACAATAACGAGGTCTGCCGTCAGAATAGTGTGAACCCGATGCTGCGAGGGAAAAGAGTACAGGCATTCGTTACAAATTTTAAGGCACAAACAACATATTGAATTATAAAACAACGTATATGAATATTTCACCAATTACTCAAGGACATTTATTTACCTTGGGGTGAATTTTTAAAATACTGGCCAGTATGGCTGGGTCTTGTACATATGGACTGTATTAAATGGATTGCAGCTAATATAGTAGTTCCATCATTTGCATGGAACTGTAAGTAAGCTAATGTGTTCTGTGAAATAATTAAATAAGAAGAGCCATTGTGAACCAGTTGAGTTATAGCTTAGTCTAGACCCAAATTATCTCTTATGTGGAGTCAGCTACTTCTGTCAGCTATCACACAATTAGAAGAACCCTGGAGGTTGGTCAGTTCTGGGAAGACAATATAGGGAAGTCCATTCTGACGTGCAGTATTAGAATGGATTATTCAGGGTTTCAGACATGCTGTCTCTTAGTCTTTAGAGATCACTGCCACTCATTTGTTCTACCTTTCCGCATGGCTCCCTTTGGAGGGAAGCTTTGGTGTTAGCAATTAATAATAAAAGCTACCACTCATTGAGCATATATTATACATTCAGTGCTCCACACACATACTTGTTAATCATCAGAGCATTTCTCTTCACTTTACAGAGCAGACCATTGGGGTTCACAGAGATAAAGCAAAACCAGACCACATAGAGAGCAGCAGGCCCAGTGTCAAAACCAGGCCTAATTTCAAAGTGTGAGGTATTTCCAACCTACCAAGCTGTTTCATAGAGAGTATCTGGTACTTGAGAGGATTGTTCACCTGCCATTGTTAGCATTACGGTTAAGGGCACAGGCTCTGAAATTAGACTAGGTTCATATTTTGGTTTCACCACCTGTTAGCTGCACAATCTTGAGCAACAAACTTGATTTTTGTATGCCTCAACTTCCCTGTCTGTAAAATGGTGGACATAATAGTATCTGCCTCGGAGAATGGTGGTGAGGGTCAAATGAGATAGTCCATGTAAAAAAATTTCAGCACCTTGTCCGACACATATAAGCAAATAATAAATGTCAGCTATGTTATTTTTTTATTTTCAGGATTTACAAGGGAGACATCTCTGCAGTAGGCCTTTTCACTATTCTCACTAAGTGCTGTACAACAGAAGTGCAATGTGGGCTACAACTGTGAGGCACATGTAATTTTAAATTTCTTAGGAGCCACATTTTAAAAGCACAAATAAACAGGTAAAATACAATTTAATCATGTATTTTCACCCAATATATTCAAAATGTTATATCAACATGTAACCAATATAAGAGTTATTAATGAGGTCTTTTACATTCTTCTGTTAGTACTAAGTCTTTGAAACCCAGTGAATATTTCGCACCTACAACATCTCTCAATTTGAATGACCCATAATTCAAGTGCTCAATAGCTGCATGTGGTAGATGCTACTGTATTGGACCTGGACCACGCAGGTCAAAACATCAGCATCCACCTGTTTAGCGGATACACTGGCTCCCAAAGTGCCTTCTCCTAACCCAAAGCCCAACCTGAAGCTGTCTCCAGGGGCAAAGGCCTATCTTCTGCCCTGGCCACTTAGATGGGGTAGTCTCAATGTTCATGCTTTCAGAAAAGCAAGGAGTCATGGTTGGGACTCACGACTAGAGGGGACAAGAAAACAGGTATATGGAGTGTGATAAAGATGACAGCTTAGAACATGCATCACTATTTCCAACGTCCACAGACAAACCTATCATTTACTGAATACTGCTAGCTAGTGATATGTATTTAGGGATTATCACTAGTTGGAAGATAGTGTCTATTTATCTTTGTGAAAGGACCAGAGCCATCTGCATACCCACACATTTAGAAAAAAATACACTTAAACTGTATATACTACTTAATATGTGCTGTGCATTTTCCCTCCAAAACAAATTAGTTCTTCAATAACCATACCACAGATGTTAAGAAAAGAATTTGGCTTCTAAATCCATAAATAGACTATTATAAACATTGCCTTGATATTCTAAAATAATGTTTATCTTTAAAAAATGAAAACACTGAAAAACTTGGCCAATGGAAATAAATATAGCCAGTTCTTATTCCATTAATCTAAATTATTTTTTGCTTGACAAATTGTGATGTCCATTGTAAGAGCGTTGATAAAATTTTCAAAATGCTCCAAAGGAATTAATCTAATTGAGAGTGAAGAACAAATCACTTTCATAAATAATGCCATGCACCATTTTAGTGCATGAGGGCTTATTCTCAGAAGCCAAGGAAAATTATCTTAAGTTATGCCATAATTTTCATGGGCTGGTAACAAAATTAATAGAACCATTTTTAGCAGGGGAGGAAAATAGTTACTTGTACTAGAGCTGAGGATCATTCTGCAAGGGGTTCCCCCACATGTGGGTGGTGCTCTGTCTCCTATGAGCCTGTTAAGAGGAGTTGGTCCCACAAAAATTTGTTTTCCCCCACAGCTTTCTGTGTGTTCAGTGGGGAGAACTCTAAGTATCCTGGTAGCCACCTCCACACCAGTGGTCTTGAAATAAAGGACAGGTGAAAGATACACAAGCAAATAAAAACATATTTAGTAAATGCAGCAGAACAGAAATGAGGTAAAAACATACTTTTTTTTTTTTTTTTTGGTGAAAAATACAAATGATGCTCAAGTAATCTTCCAGGTGTAGATTAAATGGTACCATCCAACAATACCATGCTTCATGCAGAACAGAGAAAACTACTAGTCTTTTGAACAGGCAAGGGTCTTTTTTTCCCCCTTTACCTACCCATTTAGAGAGAATAGGAATTTTTTTCTCTTCATCTCTCCAGTGAGAAAATTCTTGAAAATATTATAGAACCACTTTTTCATGTTAGCCAATTCTCTTACCTGTTAAATTGTTCATACTTTGGTGTGAATGAATTAACCAGGTGACTCCTTCTCCAGAACAGAAGGAACCACCCAGTTCACTGGGAAAGTGAGAGAAAGTGGGTTTTTCTTTACTGAGACTAGTTTACAGAAGGTGGGCCCTGAGAGGGAGTCATTTCCTGCCACCTTGAAAAAGCCACGCTTCAAAGGGTGCTCTTTCTCCCATGCATCATTCACAAAAATCGCAGCCTAAGCAAGCACTCCATATATAGCTCCATTACTCAACAGTTAAACAAGTAATTATTTAAATTAATGGATCTTCAGGGCAAGTGCAGAGCATGCATGGCATTTTTAAGGACACTTACAGAACATCCCTCAAGGAATAGGGAGACTGGTCCTTAAGACAGAAGTAAATCTGGTTCTCAGGTTTTCATAAACACTCCCTTGCATGTTTACATTTCAGTACATGTACATGTACCTCATGCAAACTGAACATAACTGAAGCACTTGGTTGGGCTGATTTGTGTGACAGTGGCCTGTAGTGAGTTCCCTCGCCACTGGCAATCACTGCATTAGCCTTGCTGTACTAAGGGGATGCTGCTAAGATAGCTACCAGAGGATGGGATACTCGGCAGTAGCTCATGATGGTCTACTTGTTGGTCATCACCAAAGTGGAAAAGAGGCCATTCTTGTGGGCAAGCAATTCTGGAACCGTACCACACTCCACTAAAATACCCTCAGAAAAGACTAAAATAAGGCCTGCGTCCATAATAGAAGAGACACGGTGCTGGAGAGGAAAGAAAGTAGAAAGAAGAAAGAGAATCAGCAAGAGAAAACATCCAGGTGATTCATTTACAAAATAGATTTTGTTAAACATGAAGCCTAAATGTGAGCAAGAATCCACTTATCTGCAAAGAGAAAGAGAGAAAACCACGGTCTACTGTAAGGAAGTTATAACATGGATTACAAAGATTTAAGCAATTCTTCAATTTGGTTGGTGCTCAGAGAAAGTGCTGCCTCAGCTGTGAGGCATCTCATTGCCTTCTTACAAACAAACAAAAATCAGTTAAGTGAATAGAGACATAGAAATTAAGTGTAAGTAGTGGCAGAATTAGCAGTCAAATTTAAGAATTTTGCTTCTGAAACTGCTCATCACACGATCGGATTGTTGAAAAGAGAATTATCCCATATGAACTACCACCTGAATCTAGCACAAGGCATGACCTGCTGGAACCTTAGATTTAGGATGTCCTATCATTGTAACTTAGGGGAGGTGGGTAGAGCAGACAGTCTAGGAAAAAAATGTAAAGGCTCTCAGAGTATAGCAGGCTTTTTTCCTTTTTTCTTTTTTACACAGATACAGAAAAATTAGCAGAGAAATATATAATTCAATAAAGGTATATTTTAATTGCTCAAAAATAAAGATGATTGGATCTTGGAATGAAAACCAAGGAGAAATACAACAACTCTGTCTCTCATACTTACAGCTATTGTAACAACGGTGCGGTCTGCAAAAGCTGTCATTACCACTTTCTGCAAAATGTTTTCCTGCCAAAAAATAAACAAAGTAAGTCTGAATTTTCTCTGGACTACTTCCCCTTACTATAATATCTGGTCCCCAAGAACAATGTTTCCCCACACCCAAACCCTTCTGAGAGCTCCCACTCCTAAGTCCGCTGCAGAAGGTGTAGCAGGGAGCAGTCCCAGACACCGAGTTCTGCGGCTGTCTTCAAAATGCAAATAAAACTCATCTGGTCAGTGACAATGACTGATAAGTTTATGGCCAGGGAACCGAAAGAGGAAAATGAAAGCAAATGAACATGGAAATGCTCACTTGAGTCACACCACAAATGGTATGTATTCGATCCCTGGCCAGTGTGGCTCAGTTGGTTGGCATCTTCCTGTGCACCGAAGGGTTGCCGGTTCGATTACCAGTGAGGGCACATGCCTGGGCTGCAGGCTCAATTCCCGGTAGGGGGTGCGCAGGAGGCAGCCTATGGGTGTTTTGCTCTCGCATTGATGTTTCTCTCTCTCCCCCTCTCCTTTCCTCTCTCTCTCAAAATCTTTCAAAAAATCGTATGTATTCAAAACTAATAAAACCTTATAAAGGTGTTCCCCTTTGGATCAGATAAAGGAAAAATAAAATACATGCCCCAAATTTGAAATCTGATCCATAAAAGAACATTCCAGGCAGGAAACATTTTTATTTCTACCATAAACTGCTGTTATCATTATATTTTAAAAGATGTTCTGGGTAAAAATTCTAACTCTCTCCTAGAGGCAAGCTTGATTACCTAAGTCTTAGTGTGAAGCAGTTCTTTTCTCCAATCAGGTGGCTTGTTGCCAATTCATTCTCATTCACATTCTCTCTCTCTCTCTCTCCCTTTCCACCCCCCAATCACTCTCTCATCTCTATTGTAGCAGGAGTATCCTATTAATAACCCCCAATATTGTATAACCTTAGTAATTAACACTAACTGTGATGTAGTTATGCTTACTTAGTGAAATGGCTTGATTAGCAACTATTTTATTGCTTTAAATTATGTTAACTTTGAGAAGATATACTATAATTTTATACAGTTACTCTAATTCATTAGTCTTACTTAATAGAAAGAAATCATGTCAAATTAGCACCTCCATATATAATTGGTTCTTATTCCTGAAACTGTTTCACTTTGGGGGGCAGTTTTACCCAATCTAATGTGTACAGTAAGAAAATAACATGAGGTTGTGGAAGCTTTTTATTTTTGTACTTTCTGATGCCAAACTTTTAATATTAAGTTAACTTTTATAAACATTGGTTGCTAGATCATTCAGTTTGTGGTTTAATGTGACTTTTCTCCACTTAATCAGGGCCTTCTAGACAGATCTTTTTTGTACATAATTTCTAAAGTCAAATTTTCTGGTTTGTTAGTATAAACACATTTACACAACTATTATTTATTGTAGCCATTATTCTAGTGAATCCTTCTTCAAATTACTTTAGAAATTAACAATTGGCTTTGGTCATCAATAGATTCTATTAAATAGAGATCTGCATACTTCATTTTAGAATGTCCATGATAATACTTGAATATAATACAGTACTCTTATCTACTGAGCCCTAGAATTTTACTGTTTTGAGAATTTAATAAAAAGTAACGGCAGATTTATTTTGTGTTTATTGGCAATAGGAACACTCTTAAAACTGCACTGAAGATTCAGATTCCAATCAGGAGAAAAAAAATTTAATTTTCATGTGCATTTTCATCAGTTGGAAAAGCTTAGACGGTGCACTCACTGTGGCCATGTCGATGGAAGCCGTGGCTTCGTCCATGATGAGGATGCTGCTCTTGCGGACAAAGGCCCTCGCAAGGCAAAACAGCTGCCTCTGCCCCACGCTAAAGTTCTCCCCACCTTCGGTGACAACGGCATCTAAAGCAGAGGAAGAGGCGAGGGTTTCACTGAAGAAATGCTACTATCATGTTCCTTGGGTAAGGTAATGAAACAGGTTATGTCTTATAACAGCAAGCTGGATTTTTACTTTGTACTGGTGCAAGGATTTCCTATGTGAAAAGTGAAGAGGGATTTTACATTGGAAAAATGAATGTAATCCTGGGCCACCCTATTTTTTGACAATAGATGGTAAGTAGGATACAAAGTAGTGTTAAACATTCTAAAGAGGGGAAGACCTTGGAAATTATTCAATTATGTAATATAACTATCTAAGGAGATTATTTAATATAATTATCTAAGGCCCAGAGAGATGAAGCTTGACCTACCCAAGATCAAATAGCTTAATTGTAGTAGATCTTCACAAGAATATTCTCAACTCCATGCCCATTATTTTTCCATTCTGCCACCCCATTAAACTGTAAGCTCCAAATGGATAGGGACTGGGTTTGTTTTTGTTCATCAGTGTATCCCCAGCACTTACCACGGTACCTGACACAGTGGCTGAATGAACACTGTTGCTTGGATAAATGAATGTTATATCATTATTTTTATCATCATTTCATAAAATGTACTATTGTGAATTTAAAATAAATTCTGCTTCCAAAATATCTCTTTTAAAGTTACCATTCAAATACTTTTGGTAGAGCTCCATGTGTGTATGATGGTGTGGCAATTTCTATTGATATATTCTCATTGCATGATATTCTTATAATTTCTCATGCTTGGGGGCTATGCATTTATTCTCTAAAATTTAATTTGTATAATAAATAAGGAGGATACTGGAGATGATGAATGTTCTTCACTGGAGTTGGCCTGAACCAGATCTTTATCAAGCAATGGTTGTATTCTTTATTAAGTCAATGTGCATAAGCAACATTCAATTAAACAGTGTGGATACAATCTCATTGCTTACATTGTACCATAACCCACAAATGCTACACAGCTTTCATGGTGGTGAGGAAGGCTATAATAAAGATGTAACTGCTTGTCTTTCTGACTATTAATGGCAAAGGGGTGGTCTCTACGTACCAAGGGAGAAGGGTCTAAAAGCATTATCAACTTCTCAAGTAGACTCACTGGGCTCTCCAGAAGAGACAGCAAAGATTATCATGGGAAAGTTCATCCAGACCTGTGGAATTAGTACCATAGTCGGGCACTGGCAAGGTCAACGAAAATGTCCTTAAAGACATGCTGTCTCAATTTTTGTTTGTGGGATGCCTTCTCCTTGGGACGTAGAATCATAAAATGTACTGTTTTTGACTAGGTCCTCCTTCCCAAACAAACTAACCAGTAAATATAGTTTTATTTTGGTAGGTTGATTTGATTAAAACTGAATGCCAAAACTACACAATCAATTTGGCACCTGTATATTATGTATTAAAATTAGACTATCAACCAACTGTTACCTTTCTGATCGCTTTCTTAATGAGTTCAGATTTTAAGGAAGCACAAGTCCAAAACTATGGACTTCATATTTATGAATTAAACACTGTACTGTGAACTCTCTGCTGTTTCATTCTTCATGTTGTTCTTTCATCATCCACACTGTTCTTCTGTTCTGTCATCAGTTATTTGCCCGAACTCGTACTAGCCCCAGGCTGAATTTCTATCAGTGACTGCTTGAGTACATGGGAAAGTTCATGTACTTTCCCATCCTTCTCACAAGTGACCAAAACTGATACTGCAGCAAGGTAATAGAAAGTAATGCCTTCGAAAAATTACGTTATCCAAATAAAAGGAATATGCCCCCTTGGCAGCAAAGAAAATGGTAGCAATGGGGAGAAATTGCCTGCTCCTAAATGGCACCAAGTACTCTTTGACCCTAACAGTCTCTTCAGTCCTCTTATCCATTTGCTGAGGGTAAGTGATTGGGTAGATCATGTGAACACGATGACCACGGGGAAATATTCTGACTGAAGTGCCCTGTGCCCAGCAATGGTGAAAAGGCAATAAATGTATTAACTGGAATACTTCGGAGTGCTCACATGGAACAGAATGTTACAAGGCTCACTCTCTTGTATTCCATGCAAAATCATTAGGTTTTAAAGTGTTCTAATGACCTTTAGAAGATTATTTTAAATATAAGGGAATTTAACACTAGAATTATGTGATTTTAGCATAAATTATAGAGATATGTAGTAAATTAATTGCATATTTAAAAAAATAAATGTATAATTTAGAAAATTTACCTAGACCTCCTGGTAGGGATTTGACCATATTCTTCAACTGAGCAATTTCTAGAGCTTCCCAGAGTCTGTCATCTGTGCATTTGCATTCTGGATCTAAATTAAATCTGTAGGGGGGGAAATCAGTTAGTCAATAAATAAAAATAAAGAAGCTTTTGTATATGTTTGCGTATTGCTGTTCTTTCCTTAAAATGTAAGTTCTATTTGCTTTGGTTGTGGCTGTATCCCCACTATGTACAACAGTGCTGAGGGCAGAGCAGGCATTCAACTTATGTTTGATGAATGAATGAACTTAATGCTATGACATGGTTTTTGATGATATAATCAGTAAGGTTCTATGCATGACAAGATATAATAAAACTCATTATTTGACTTCGTTCACTTTCATATTATGTTTCATGAAACCTGAAGTGTCTAGAAAAATATTTCTACAGAACTGATGCTAAATACATCCATCTACCTGAGAACATATAAAGCTAATAGCTTTACGAACTCATTGCACTGTACCAACCACAATAGTAGTAGTATGTTTATTCAGAATAAATATTTTCACAGAGATAGATTTACTATGGCATTGCTAAATAAATGGATACTTCTAGAACTTTTAATTAATGTTACAGCTGAATACAGAGCGATCTTACACTTTCTCTTCAGGACGAGTAACTAGTAAAAGGAAGTGGAAAATTACTTCTTTGTAATTAAATAAATGGAGAAGGGGAGCGAGAGAGCAAAGCTTAGATGAAATGAGAGGCATAAGCTTGTGGATGATGCCATGGCGGACTTTGGAGTCAGACAAACTTTATTTGGGAACATGGTTCTACCACTTACTAAGTGTATATATTTGGGCAAATTACAGCTTCTCTGAGGTTCAAAATACTCATCTGTAAAATGGGGATAATAATATACAGGGTGGGCAAAAGTAGGTTTACGGTTGTTTGTATGGAAAAGAATATGGAATAAATAAATAATAACACAACAACAAACTCTGTTTCACGTACTCACAACTATAAACCTATTTTTGCCCCACCCTGTACACACTAGAGCAATATTTTGAGGATTTAATGAGACATATATTTAAAGTGCTTAGCAGATACTAGTTACGTCCATCTTTTTTTCCCCCAGGTGGGAAACCACAAACCAGGAATGAAGAAGATTGTAGCAGCTTCTTAAAATCAATTTTGGCTGAAAGAAAAGTTATGAGGGATGGGGGCTGGAAATCAAGCTACTAACCAAACTCAGTATCTGCTAAGGTCAGGTCAGATACACAAGAGATAGGTAGGGTATCAGTAGGGTGGAACACCTAAGACACGTCTGCCAAGAATCCAGAGGAAAAAGTGACTTTTGTAAAATCAAAGAGAACTGGAGACTTAAAAGATTGGCTTCTATAGGCTAATTTAGCAACTCTAGGGTTCCCTAATCCAAGTTGTTGGACAGATATTTGATCTTAGCATCTTGACAATGCTATTTTACACCTACCTGAAAAGCATTTCTAAGCAAAACTCTCCTATGAGCCACAGGGTAAATTCTGAGGCACACAATTTTATGTTGAGCATGGCACCTACCTAATAGAACCGCTAAATAGTATTGGATCTTGCAGAATGATTGAAAGTCTAGAACGCAATGTATGCAGTGGTAGTTTTGAAATGTCTATCCCATCAATGACAATCTTTCCTATTAAAGAGAAACAAAAACGACAGACATGTAGTAAAATCACAAGCAAAATAATATTTATTTGCTTTACAAATTGAAAGTACTTTCCTAGTTCAGGGTTGAAATTCCTAAAATTTCTTTATCCTGGTTCCCTGCTTTATTTGCCTCCATAGGACATTCTATACACATTTACTGATGTTTTTTTTATTGTCTTTCTCCCCAACTAGAACGTAAGCTCCTTGAAGACAGAGATTTTTGCCTGTCTTTTTCACTCTTGTATTGATTGAATAGTTCAGTGTATTACAAATAAAAAAGTAAATTCTATAACATAGATACCAAATTTTAATGAATTTCCCCAAAGTGTGCATAGATTTATAGACACGTGTGCAATCGTGATGGCCTTTCCTCAAATTTGATAGATTTATTTTATCGTATCACTTTGTGCAAAAACAATATGGCCTTAGGAGATGAACGTGCCAGGTGAAGCATGGCTACTGGAATCCCTTTTCCAGTTGGCTTTGGGGTCAAGAGCAAGAAAGGTGATTAGCTGAAACTATCTTTCAGAAATAATACATTATCTATTAAAATCCTAATAGTCTAATGATAATAAAAAGAGAATATGTCATTGATAGTGCATATGGAGCCTGAAATGATGTTTCTTAATCTAATATGTTCAGTCATAACCATAGTTTTTTAATGAAAAGTGTCAATCAATTGTCTTTGGATCATGCAATTGAGTTACACTGCAAATCCCAACTGAAAATCTTTAAAGTATCTGTGTATTATTACTAGCCATGGAAAGAGCAGACCACTAATCCAGCAGCAGATACCTAACTTGTTCCTGAATCTAAACCCCAACTAGACAGCAATTACCACAGTTCAACTTTGTGTTCATAAATTGACCTCTTTACCTCATAGAGCTGTTGTGTAGATTAGATTAAATAATATAAACTGTCAAGTACAATAAAAATGTGAAGTACTATCATCATCATAATCATTACAGATAATAATAGTAAGCACACTGCCAGATCCCCTTTTATTCAAGAAGACTTATGTGCTGGCCT